CCTCTACAGTATTTAGAGTTGGCTTTCTTGCATGCAGCACTGTGAATTTTTTTGCTGGATGTGAGGCTTGTGAATCCATGCAAATCAATATAAATGATGAGAGATACTCAATCTAGTCACCGTTGCTCAACTATCTTGTCTGTTCAAAAAACTCTCTGGATTGATCCAGAGTCCCAAGTCACTGTCATTTTGTCCCCAGATTTTCTACATGTTATCTGCTATGGTTCCCTGCTTATGTAGTGCCTTTCCTTTGGAGCCCTGATGTCACCTTGGCACCAAGTGAAAACAGGCTTGGGAGTTCCAGCGACCATGGCTTGATTCTGATCTGTGTGCATTGTACATGTTACTGTACATTACCTTGCTGAATTGTTTTGCTATCCTTACTCTACCCTAAGATCTCTACGTAGAGAACAGGCTACCAGTGACTAAACACACATCTCTCAGCCTTGATCTGTCATCTCTGTAACAGCTGGCTAATAAGCAAGAAATTATACCCTGTTCCCCTAACCTGAAAATAAGCCCTAGTATGACATGACTGTATTTGAATAAATGTAGATTGTTATACATGAAAAAAATAAAACATCTCCTGAAAATAAGCCCTAATGCGTTTTTGGAGCAAAAAGTAATATAAAACCCTGTCTTATTTTCGGGGAAACACGGTTTGTTTGTGCCATTAAGTCACCACCTTCTATAGACACAAACAAGACAGCTTTGTGGCCCTCTTCACCTTGGGCTTCAGTATTCTGGAGCCATAGACTCTCATCCCCCCCTACACATTCCCACTTATTGACTATTGAGAGGCCTAAGCTGTCCTGTGGCTTTCATACAGTGCTGAAACACACTCAGTCCAGAATCAAGCAACATTCTATTTAGGAAAGCAGCTTCTTTGGCCAGCTCCCCAATTTCCAATGCATTTTCCCTGTTCCTTTGTCCAAAAAGCCTGAAGCATGATGGCACCACTTCTTTTGGAAGGCTGCTGACTCATTTTCTTATGTCACCTCCCTTTTTCTCAGGGACATGCCTTCAGTAATTTGTGTTAAAAGTAGTTTTATTCTCTCCATTAGTTTTCCTGTTTTATTAAAGTTTGTATGCACACTACATAATCACCAGCTGTTTGATACGATCTTATTTGTCATTACTCAATCCTACACAATCCTGAAATGTATAGGTTGCTAAAGTATTTAAAATTATGTACTGGAGAATCCAAGTGTTGTAGTTCAGGTACTGGAGCTCTTCCAGCAGGGAAGGTTAAGTTTGCTAAACAAGCTAGAAACCTTAGGATGGATATTGAACTGCTGATTATGTGTAGTCCTTTCTCGAGAAAATAACTGGCCTTTTCTAAGTTTTTCCTACGCTGATACACTCTGTTTCTACAAGAGCACTCCACTATCAAGGGCTAAGGGATTTACGTCATATATAGTGTGTTTCTGTGTAATTTGCAGGAATAATAGCAGTCTGTTTGTATTCAGCAAGAACAGAAACAAGGTTGTAGGGAGATGTTCTCTTAGCAATTTTCTCTGGTCATTTGTTTTCTAGGAGAGTTTATTCCCTGATCATGGACAAGTGTTCATTTGCTCCACTGCTGCCTGCACAGCTCCTCTTGGGACCTTAAATATTGTCCAGCTGCTGCTTGTCTTCCAGCAGCAGCTGATCATCTGCAGAATCTCTGGACTTCTGACTCACCCTTCCTTAGAGTGTGGGTTCGCTACTTGAGAACCTAGACCTCAAAGTGAAAGAAGTAGTTACTCTTCCAGATGACTGCTTTTCTAAAAAGAGGCCCTATGTATCTCTGTACGCTGGCTAAGGGAAAAAAGGAAGGTACAGACGCCAATGGTTGTCTTTCACAGCCTCCTGACCTATTTGCAGTGCTATCAAACCAGGTGAAAGCAAAAAAGTGGCACAAGCCGCACTAGCATACAGATAGAGAGCAGAGACTTGATTTGCAGCTTGCTCCCTGCAGCTAACCTGGATTTGAGAATCTCCCGCACCTCCAGGGCAAAATGTTCTGGGGTGTTCCTTCCCTTTTTTTCTCCAGTTATATGTTTATCTAGCAGTGGCAGTCTAGGTGCAGATCATGACAGTGCCTGCAGCAACTCCCCATCCCAAGGAAAGTCTGAAAATACAGGTAGCCATATCTGTATCAACAGGGCAGTACTATTTTCATCTCCAGCGACAGAAAGTTTTTGGCAGAGATATGGACTTTCAACTGCACACACAAGACCAGGCCATCCCTAAACAGCTGGATACCTCAGTGGTTTAGAGACTATCAATTCCCTACTGTGCCACCTTGACAGTGGCTGGATTCAATGACTCACAAGATTCCTTCCAGCTCTGCATTTCTAAGATTATTATAACTATTTTGCAGTTATTCTAAATAAAGCAGCTGTTATAGTTGGGCCAACACACTGAAAGACAATTTTATTCCACAATCATTGGAGTTTTAATTGATAAATTGAATTATTAAATATGCATAAATCTGTAGACCGGTATAGATAAAACAGTATCTCTGAAGGAGAAAATATACTGCATTTTCATTTTATGATGATTCACACACATTTCATAGAAGGCATGAAGAATATATATGAGAAGAGACAATGTTGGTTACTGGGGACACCTTTCTAGTTCACCAAAAGTTTTATAGAACAAACATTTGAAGGCTGATTGAGAAGTAAGCCTCAGTTTTATAGTTTTATGTTATTTGCCATCAGGTTGGAACCAACTAAAAGTGACTTTAACAGGGTTTTGAAGGTAAGTGAGATATTTGAGGAGTGGTTTTAGCAGTTCTCTCTCCTCCGCCAAGTTTCCTTAGCCAAGTGGAGATTCAAAGCCAGGCATCCTGAATCCTTGGCAATCACTCAGCTCACTACACCACAATAGGTCCCGTTTTATAGTTAGTACCCACAAACATATAAAGGTTGAGTGAGAAGTCATTGGCTCGTCCTGCCCAGTAAATGGGCATACAATTGCTTCCTAAACTAATTTTCAATTAATCTAAGAGATGAAGGCTGCAATCAGAACTATGTCACATAGGATGTAAACTCTACCAAACGCAATGGCATTTACTTCTGAGTAAACATGCCTAGAACTATTCAGAGACAGATAATGAGCAAAAAACAGCATTCCTAATACACAACCGAACAGAAGCTGCATTGTTTTAGACCCTGATGGCATTGGAAGCCTGTGGGCTAAAGGGAACAAGCAGCCTGCCAAGGAAAGGAGACAAGTGTTTCCAGCTCCTTCTCTTGAGCCCTTCTGCTCTGGAAGCTTCTTGAGCCTGCCCTGGGGTCAGCCCTCTCAGCGACGCCGTGGCTGAGCTATGTACAAGCAGCCGCCAATTTGTTTGGAAGGGTCCCTGTGAGGGATGATGGCCCAGCCAGCGCTGCAACCTGAGCTCTCCTGTGCAAGCTGGATATAAAAGGAAACAGTTCTTGCCTAGTTCCCACCATCCCGTCTTCGCTGTGTATGCCCTTTGCTCGCCTCTTCTTGCACAGTGGTTCTGAACAGGGGCGGCCGATCAGAGGCAGAAAAGTTACTTTTTTGGGAAAACATCTCCCAAGACACCTTAGCTGCTGCCATGGTCACTGGCCATATTGAGATGCAGTGCTATAAACAAACAACATTCCCGTCTCAGGAGCAAGTACTGTATCTTCAAAACTCACCAGGCTGCATACCATTAATACAGGAAACATTTTTTAAAATAATCTTTAAGACTCCTAAGAGATACTTAATTTTCCGGTGCTTACACTCCTCCCCAACGCCCACAAAGCATCTACTCCCATTTCGCCATAAAATAAAATCTTTCTCAAAAGGGGAAAATATTTTCATCAAACGACAACTTTATTTTATTCTAGTATCAAAAGTGGCACGTCTTAACATAGGAGTTTGCAAAACTCTGAATACAGTGTATTCTCGAAGGCGTTCCCGGCCGGGATCTGTATTTCTCAAATAATGTGCATTTTCTTTCAGGTACACCAGATTAAAAACGGGGGAAAGACTTTTCTTAACGTATCTCTATGCAGGGCAAATCGCTTGAGGAAAAATCCAAACCGCCATTGGGGCACGTTGTGGTATAAACTTTCGGAGAGTAGAACCGAACCCACTTAAGCACAGTTGCGTGAAAATGTTCAACCGCGTTTTTGGCCTTAATCCATCACCTCAAATGCAAAAAGACAGAGACCGACTACTTGTCCGGTCAGTGTGCTAAACAATAAAAATAAATAAGCAGGCCGGGAGTGCGCCGCGCCACGCCCCTTCTTTAAGCACCAAAAGCCTTCATGGGTGAGAATGCAAATCGCGTGAAAATACCTACCGCTGTAGAGCCCGAGGACGTCGCTACAAACACTTTGATCACCATTCTGACGACCACCCGGGGGGGCCCTAACCGTACCAGCGCGCCTAGTCGCGGCAACTTATGCGCGAGAGCGGCAAGAGTAGCTCGGGCATGCGGCCGCTTCCACGGCACAGCGAGTCCCGAATGAATTGCCACTTTCCCTCGGCTCAGCCCGTTCCCCGGCCACCGCCGACGCCGTCTCTCCCCTCCACCCCAGCGCCATCCCAGTACTCCCAGTTGATTGGTTCTCGGATTTTTTGGGAACCGGCCAGGCTCACAGACGATTGGCTGGTAAAAGTATCCATTGCAGGGGGACTTGCACCTGCCCGGGGCCTCATCACTTTAGATTGACCGGCTGGCAGCCCTTAAAAGGCCATCCCCGGCCACCGCCGACGCCGTCTCTCCCCTCCACCCCAGCGCCATCCCAGTACTCCCAGTTGATTGGTTCTCGGATTTTTTGGGAACCGGCCAGGCTCACAGACGATTGGCTGGTAAAAGTATCCATTGCAGGGGGACTTGCACCTGCCCGGGGCCTCATCACTTTAGATTGACCGGCTGGCAGCCCTTAAAAGGCCAGGCGCTGGGAGACACCAATCAGGCGGCACCGGAGGGCGGGGGGACCAAGGGA